AGGTAATGCCTAGCTGGTGACTTCCCTTTTGATAAGCAAGCTTGCTCTAGGAACTTAAGTCTTTTATGCATGTCTTTTTAAATTACATGGTATAAGGAGAGCGCAATATAGGACTGTAATAAGGCTGACTGCCTGTATAGTGTAACAGTGGGAATAGTTTGTTTTTTCACAGTTCAGATGGATAAAATCTTCTCAGGTCACTGATTGCTGTAGCATCTTCGCTCCTTTTTTACCCCATGGTGGGTTGATGAAGTGTGAAAGACAGGAGAGGAAGGAGAGGGCATTACCCAAACCAGATGGTGATTGCTGGTGTTGAGAAGACTATTACCCCACAGGGCAGGAGCCCGCCCGTGCAACCTGGGCTGCAGGAAGAGCAGCACCTTTAGGAGTTACCCATGGAGGTTATTAAAACTCTACTACAGTCCCATGTTTTCTTCAGTGCACCAATTTAAGAACTTCTGTGTCTGTGGTTTGCTCTTTGCTTCCTTCCTGTTTTGGGGGATCCGTATAAGCTAATGAAGCTGTGGACATGGGCTAAACTGGATTAGAGAAACATGAATCTTTGTCAACCTCCTTTCATTCTCCATTTATTTATTTTTAATCCAAATAATTTCAATGATCCTATTTTGAGTGGGATGCCACAGACAGTGTTTTTTCCAATGACAAAGAAATTCTGAGATTCTCTGCTTCACTGCCATTGCTCTGCTAGTTGCAGCATCAGGTCTCATCCTAAACTGGTGTTTGTAGATTTGTACAGTGCCTAGAGAAATGTTTCTCTATGTTTTCATGATATTATTTACATTACAAAATACAATGGGATTCTTATTGTTCTGGAGGTTTGATGTTGAGAAGCATGTTGGCGTGAAGCTTCCTGAAGTATACCTTGTTTTTTTTTCCTTTTTCCTGGCACTTTGTTATGTTTATGGATTGTGTATGTTGTATGACAGTTCCTGATGAATAATCTTATAGTTGTAGCTATTTGGTTACTGTTTTAAAATCCAAAATAGATGCAAGTTTGTAGTGTGGGGTGGTTTGTATCTTTATTTTTGTAGAGCTTTTCCTCTGTTGTGATGAACAGCTGAGCAATAATGTGTGTGTGAGGCGCATCAAACGTGTTTGAAAGGCCTCCTTAGTCTTCAGCAGGCAATACTGTATTCTATTAAAAACAATCCCTTTTACATGGAACTTGCACAAAAGAAATTATTTACAGAGAAATAATGTTTGAGGACCTCTTTATTGTAACTCAGATCAATAAGGGAAGTACTTTCTAGCCATCACTTCTGCTAGAGGAGAGGAACCTTATGAAAAACATGATCTGAAGATCAGAGTCTTCTGATAGTTAATTGTGGAAACTTCTACTCACTCTGAAACTTGTGGGATACATCATATTTTTATCAGTTTATCTTCTCTACGTCTTCATTTTCTCAGTTATTCTAGAATAAAACTGTCAATTTTTGCTGATAGGTTTGCCTTGTGCATTGTTAAACCTGCTCTTGTCTTCAGTGTTTTTATTAAAACCATTTCAATTAGTACTAAATTAATCAGATGTCTAATTCATGCAGATGCAGATTTTGAAACCATGAATTATTTTTGCCTGCTGGAGATGTGTGGCAGTTGGTATTTTGCTGGAGCAGGGTGTTTGTGTTTGACACTTCTAACTGATCATAAATTTAGGGTTAATTGCTTTTTGACTTCTGATATAAGCAAATATTGTTGTGGAATTTTTTTCAACTGTCTGTTGATGGGTGTCTAGTGAGAACCCCTAGGTATTTAGTGAGAGAAGTGTAGGGGGAGTGTAGGTGATTGACTCACTGGTCCTCAGATTCTCTTTAGTTGTAGTGGCAAGAGAACAGGGTGGCCAGTGTCCTGGAGTTGCACAGATCACCTTTCTGTTCCTGGGTTGAACTTCCCAGGTGTTGTTGGTGAGCTTTCACTTGAGATTCCCTGCCCTACTGGTATCTTTGGAAGTCAGCATTGCCCAATCTGAAGGTCCAGTGATTTGCTGTATTACAAGCATGAAGGTTCTTCCAAAACGAGATAGCTAAAGGTGGAAGACTGTGCTGCTGTGAAAGAGAAAATGAGCATCATGCTCATGCAGAAGTCAACATGGGAAATCTGGTATTGGAGCTGGGTGCTTCTAGAAAAGAAGTGTGATATGGAGACGCTCTGGTAAGAGCAGTGTCTGTGCAACAGCTGAATTGTTTGATGAATTACAGGAAGGCATTTAAGTGTTGCCTTCTATTTCTGTCTGGATCAGGACTGAATGGGTTTCTAGAAACCAATTTCAGTACTTTCATTAACATATAGACAGACTTCAGGTCTAAAAAATTTAAGTGTGTGATTGACAGAATGTCTCTTTGGAGGAGATGGGGCACAGTTCTTAAAATATGTAAGCATCCATTTGGTGTTGTGTTGGGTTTTGTTTTATCATAAGGGAAGAGCAGCATCATGTATTGTGCAGTATTAATCATCTTAAAAGGTCTTTGAGTCACAGATTTAATTCCAAAATATGCACGACCTTCCGCATAGGTGAACCCAGTGATTGTGGTGTGCGGTTTCTAAGTTCAGGAGAAAATTTGGCCTTCGCATATTTTCTACCTTATATGTATGTGTAAGAGAAAAAAAAAAAAACAGGAACAAAATAGCTTAGTAAATGTCTGAGGTTTTTCCTCAATTATCTGAAAGTTGACATTACATCATCTGCACAGATGTAAATATAGAAAATAGTAGGTGTGTTAAATCTCCTGACTTATTTTAAAACCTCTTTTACAGAGGACTCTCTTTACTTGAGTGCATGTTTGTGTCAGTAAATAGACATGTGGCATTAATGTCCATTTTCTGTCTGGGAAATTGGATGTTTCTTTTAAATGCTTATTTTCATCTTTAAAGGTTGCTTTTAGCTGTTGTGGAAGTGCAGTTATGTTTTTCTGTCATTGACTCGTCTCTTTCCCATGATGGTTATATTTCAGTGAAGTTGTGTTCTGTTTTTTCCTAACTACCTGTCTCTATAAATGCTTCAGATTTTCCCAAATAAGCATTTTGTTTCTCTTTGAACGATGATATTATTGAACAAAGTAATAAATAATGTAGCTGAGTGGTTTGGTATGAAAATCAGCTGAGCTGTACATTTTTCAGATAAACAGGAAAACAATCCCTCCTTCAAGTTCAGTGCTAAAAACCAAAGGATTAGCAAAATAGATGGGAATATTTTGGGTATTGTGAGACCTGTCCTAGGTTCTGATTCAGGGTAAGTTCCCTGTTGCAGGTAATATATAAGACTTAGTTTAAACAAAATCCAGAGTTACATGACTTCTCAACTGTCAAAGGACTTGTTAAGCATTCCATGGAAACAAAGTTTTGTTTGGTGTAATGTGTTTGTTAGATGCTTCATTGTCTGTAGGCAGTGTTATAACTAACTCTGTGTATGGCTTCTTTGTGGAATTAAATATGGTAAGAAATAAAGATTCTAAGCTGGTTTAGAAATTGAACTTTAAATATTACTGTAAAAGTACAGAACAAACCCAACCAATTCTGAAATCAGTTTGTATTGCCATGTAATTGCTCCATGTAAGAAAACAACTGAGGAGTTGAAGTGTGTTTTCTCTTTTGCAGGTGTTGCTGAAATAGTTTGATTTATTTAAAGCATACGATTTCATGCAATTGTGCCTGATTGTTAGTGCAGCTGTCAACAGCTGCATGCTCATTTATCTAATTGCATTCTAGTAAGATAGCTAAGCTTATTTTAAGATATGCAGTTGTGTGCATTTTTTTTTTTAAAGCAACTACACACATTCAGAAGATTTATTGCAGAAAGGTCTGTGCTGTCACAATGAACAGTCATTGCTCTAGAGGAAATTTGAGAGCTTATAACCAAGACCATATCAGCCAACCTAGTGTGTGGATAGCATTTGTGAAAAGTTGGACCATGCCACTCAAATTCATACAGTTTTAAAGCCCTGAAATGGTCTTGTCCTTGGGGTTAGTTTCATCATCTGCTCTTTGGGAGTATATTATAGTTTAACATGTAAAACTTCCATTTAACAAGCAACTAATTCCCTACTGTTGCATCAGTATTCTGGTTATATATACAGGAACTGTGAGCTTCTGTTACATACTGATCATCTCCTTCAAGAAATATGTACCTGAAATGAGAAATCTGTGTGACATCATATATATATATATGAAAAGCATATGAGGACACAGACCAGCTATTATGCATGCTAATTATGTATAGAATATTGTATGGTTTTTACTGGTATATGTTAGCTACATAATTGCAGTCGACAGTATAAAATTTATAATGCAGTGTTGTTTTTATTTGTTATATAGCTTTATGCCAGTATATACAGGCCTCTAAAACCCGCGATGGTGCCAGCCGTTTCATTTCAAGTGCAACAGAAGGTAAAGGAAAAAGTGTGGGGAAAAATAGCGCACAGTTTTCTGTTCATCTGATACCCTATCTTCGTGGGCATTTATGTGGCTCTTGATCTCTTAACCTTCTAGACTCTCTTCACAGCTAACTTCTTGTAATAGATGGTGGATACCTTTTTTTCCTAAGTCTTGAAGAAGAAATTAAGTGATGCCGCTTGTATGTCTATCTTAAACTTGCATCATCTTTGCATCTTGTCTATTTGTGCTTTTCTTCAGTAACAAAATTCCACCAAAACTGAAGCTTTAGCTATGCTTTGACAAGAGTCTGAAATATCTGAAGAGTGGCTTAGAGAATTGCTCTTATGACCACAATCTCAAGATAGTCACACTTAAGGAAAAGCACAGATACTTAACGACATAGAAATGTTACAATGCTAATCCTTGCTAATATCTGCAGTCTGACGATATGCTGACTAACTGTCTTGCATTTTCTGTTTCTCTTAAAAGGAGTGTGTGCTTAATTCACTTATCCTCACATCTACCTGCTGATGTCCTGCTTTTTGGCCTTGTTTGAGCTTAAAAAGAGAATGAAATATTTACTTCTGTGTTTTTCTTTCACCTGCAGGTGAAAATTTCGAACAGACTCCACTAAGACGCACATTTAAATCCAAAGTTCTTGCTCGCTATCCTGAGAATGTTGAATGGAACCCTTTTGACCAGGATGCAGTGGGAATGGTCAGTATCAGTTAATGGTTTTTGGTTTTAAGACAAAAACCTACCTTAACAATTGAAGGCATTTATCTGTGTTTTCTTTGACATAAAAAATGTGAAGTCTATTGTAGATTGGAAATAATAAAAAATTTCTCTCAATTATGCAGGCTCAAAAGTACATTTCATTTAGTTGGGTTATTTTCTTAGAGGAGATTAAGTTAAAACTTTTAAGTGATAAGTCCCTAGGAGAGATTTTTGTTCTTTTACAAATTTTTTGCTATGTTGTAGAGAATTGATAGAGAAATAAATCGGTCTGCAATTAATGAATCTTCTTTGTGTATGATTTTTCGGTTTATTGGAATGTGGTATGGTTTCTTAATTTAGATAAAATACAGTACTTTTTTCTGTCAGGTTTCTGGTCTTAGTGACTAAAATACTTTCCTTTATCTGAGTTTGAATTCTGTTATTTTATTCCAATTGAGGTTAGTAACAGAATGGTTATGAGTTTCAATAGAAACTGCACGCAGCCCTTTTAATATGTTCCTTCAGTTTTTCAGATTTAGGTAGGTATTACTTTACATTCTACTAGGTGTTACATCTCTGTACAATAAAGTGAGATGTGATGGCAGTCTGTGGATTCTAAATCCTATTTTCACCAATGTTTCTGGAGTCAGGGGGAGAGAAAAGTGTGTTTTAATGGATATTATCTCCCATCCCTCTTTTTATAGCTGTGTATGCCTAAAGGGCTTGCTTTCAAGACACAAGCGGATTCCAGAGAACCTCAGTTCCACTCTTTTATTATTACTCGTGAAGATGGCTCACGGACATTTGGATTTTCTCTCACGTTTTTTGAGGAGGTTACTAGCAAACAGATCTGCAGTGCAATGCAGACATTGTATCATATGCACAATGCTGAATATGACATTCTTCATACTCCACCCACAAATGACAAAGATAGCTGCAGCAGCACCGGAGACTGCAATGGCACTTCTGTTTCAAAGCTACAGCGTTTTAACTCCTATGACATCAGCAGAGACACACTCTATGTCTCAAAGTGCATTTGTCTGATTACTCCAATGTCTTTCATGAAAGCTTGTAAGAAAGTGCTAGAACAACTTCACCAAGCAGTGACTTCACCTCAGCCACCACCTCTACCTTTAGAAAGCTACATCTACAATATTCTTTATGAGGTTCCTCTTCCTCCAGCAGGAAGGTCATTAAAGTTTTCAGGTGTTTATGGACCAATTATCTGCCAGAGGCCAAGCACCAGTGAACTACCATTATTTGATTTTCCGGTTAAAGAAGTTTTTGAACTGCTTGGAGTAGAAAATGTGGTTCAACTCTTTACCTGTGCCCTGTTGGAATTTCAGATACTGCTTTATTCACAGCGTGAGTACTTGGTTTCTGGTTTCTTATCTTGTAGTGTATTGGCACAAGGTCTTTTCATTTCTTGAATCTTAAAGAACACAAGGAACAGAATAGCTGCATTAAAGTGGTATTAGCATGATAATGCAGTCAGGCTGATCTATGTGCAGGTTTTAAGGTGAAGAAAAGAACTGGAGTTGCAGAGAGTGTTGCACTGGCTCCTGTTTTTAGACACCTAAACTTAAAACTTTGGGCTAGACACCTAAACTTAAAACTTTAGCCTTTCATGTAATCTCCTGTATTGATGGAATGATTGTCCCCTTTATTGTTGTCTCTGGAAATGTTGTGTTGTTGGATTGAGTAATATGCCTTCTCCCATGTTCCTCTCCAGCTGCTTAGCTGAATTCCCTCTCCTCTGCCAAACTATCCATGCATTTAAAGGAGATACATAGTTAATTATATATGGTTATGGAGAAGAATTCATGATGCAAATACAATTTTCTCTTTGAGTACCCAAAGTCACATTTCAGTTGTTACTTTGAAATAAAATTACCTGAAAAAAAATTATTTGACAGAATTTAAATCCCAAATCTCTGCTAAGGCCTTGAAACAGTTATTGCTGAAGTCACATAGATAAAGCTTTCTTTGAAGAGGATAGGCAGCAACTAAGCTGAAATAGCATCTGTTTATAAATTAATAAGTAATGTGGTAGTGGTATCCATTTTCTGTGTTGAAATTTGTGACTAGTGGGCTGCTTACTCTGCATCCTGTTACTCTAACACAGAGTATGTGGAGTTATGCCAAAAGATGATTTTCCTACTTTTTTTTTTTTTCCCCCCAAGCTGGTTAAGGTTAGTCCAGACCCACCCATCCATAGTGGTGTGGTTTAAAGTAGACAGACTGCATTTTGAACACAGTTCTATGTAATGGTAAAGAAGCCTAGAAGACCCTAAGAGAAATCCTGGGATAGTCCGTGGCATTACTGAAATCTGGTTTTGATATTTTCTTCCATTGAGCTGTCACTGAAATATGTACACTAAAAATGGTAACTATTTATAAAATATAACCTGCAGTTATTAGCAACATTCTTTTATTAGCACGAAATACAGATGTTTGTGTGTTGAGATGTGTGCATAAACTAAAGCCAAAGAGGGATTATTTTTTTTGTATAATCCAGGGGATTAAAAGTGTATAATGGCAGCAGGGCGTTACGTCACAGTTGCTGCGTTGTATAAACACTGTTAACTACCAGAGAAAAACTATACAGTAATTCAAACGCAGTCAAAAAATCGTATTGTACGCAATAGTGGTTATTCTCTTGGATATAAAACCCAAAATGCTTTGCTTATTCATCAAAAATCTAGAAATACTTGCCTAGCAGATGAAACTTCTTTTGTAGTTTCTTCAGAAATGGAGTAGTCATTTAGTTGTTTGCAATTTAGGGAGAGTTTGTTTATGTGGATATCTGTGTCCCACCAGTGGATGATTCAAACATCAGCTCTCCCACCTGTGCTTGAGACCTCCTGTGGCGGCAGCGTGTGCCTGACCGCCTGGAAGTGCCGCAAGAAAAGCGATGTGTGCATTGCCGTGTTGGAACAGATTTCCCTGATCTCTTGTCAGGACATCGCCTTACAAATACTCTTTTCTGCTGGGCTGGAACTTGACTTGCTTCTGGACTAGGCTTCTGTGTTCTGGGTTCTCTTTTCGAGTTGTATTAATAGGTTCAACTTTTTTTCTTGGATGTTTTCCAAGTGTCTGATCAGTGGTTAATTGAAGGAGCTTAAAATAGCTCTGGAACACTCGAGTTTCTTGTTTGCACGCACAGACATACGGAATTCAAAGGGATCCAGGCAGCAGGTTTCCTTCTTTTGCTTTGTTTTGGTTTGTTTAGGTTTTTGTGGATTTTTTTGTTGCTTTTGTTTGTTGGTCTTGTGGTTTGGTTTTTAAACTGGGATATGCTCCTAATACATTCTGTTCTTTCTTCTGTATGGTTGACTAACATCTGGTTTTTGCTGTTTGTAGAACAGGGAATGTTGAATGGAGATACAGGTGATTAGTGCACTCAATTCTAAGTGGAATCAGAAGTTGCTCGAACTTTTGTAAAGGGCTTGCTCGTATTCTTGCACATGCAGCAGTGGGAGGTCTAGGTTGTCCTTTAGGATTAAATTTTTTTCATGACCTTTGGGTTTGCTAAATCTCAGAGTTCTTAAACCTATGACAGTTGAGGTGGATGGGATCATTTCTTTTTCTCCTAGGTTGGATGAGATTACAGTACTCATTGGGTAGATGTAGATTTAGAACAGTACATGTCAGGGTCAGAGGGTTTACTTGTAAGATTTACTTTTTTTTTTAAAAAAAATACCAAACAAAACCAACCCCCAAAACCCTTGGAAGACTTTGCTGCCAGATGCAATCCTTTTTGAAACAAGCTATTTGGCATCTTAAGTTGCAGTCAGTCCTTGGAATAGGAATAACTTTGCTTGGCAGTGAATGTGTTTTGCTTTAAGATTTCTTTGACATATTTCTGACTTTATGCTTCTGGAAATTCTTCTTTTGTCCCACTATATTGGCACAGCCTGTATGTTTTGAATCAGTGTAAGTCAAATGTAGGGAATGAATACCTCAATTTGATTGTCCTGTTGAGAGAGTTGTTTCCCATTTAGAAAAGGGTTAGAGGAATGCAGGTGCATATAAACCAGTGAAGAATATGAAATTGTTCTAGTGTGAGCCAGTGCTTAGGAACTCTGGCAGACACAGTGGTGCTGGAGGCCTTCAGTAGTGCCCTCACCAGATTGTTCAGTGGGAGCTGGTTTGCATTCCTGCAATTTATGTTGCTCCTGTATCTGTGAAATGGACTTATTTCTTATCTCTATAGAGCACCTAGAGCTCCTCTGAAAAATGTGCACTGAGTTAAGACAGCTGTGAAATCTACTTGAAGGCTATTTTCTAAAGAGCTAAAAAGGAGAATATATAAATAAAATGAAAGGAGAAATGTAATGCCCTGCTACCACAGACTGTCATCTTGAACAGTTCTTAATTTCTGGGTATTTGCTGTCTGCTGCCATTTTTAAGCACAAATAAAGGGGTTTTTCTGCTTTGCTTTTGAATCACTCTTCTCCATCTTTGTTTCACTTGCTTAAAATTATGTTCACTCTGGAGATTTAAAGTATTAGTTTTATTTCTTTACAGTATTAGTCCCATGTTGCTAAACTCTAATCTCTTATGTAGGACACTTTCTTCTTATGTCTCTAATGACTTAGGAAACTTGCAGCTTGGTGCAGGCATCTTTAATCAGCCTCTCAGACACAGAAGCGAACACGAATAGGAAGTCCTTTGACCCACTGCTTCTACTAACCACAGTTTGTTCTTAATGCAGTTAAGTTTTTTGAAATAAAAGGCCCACGTAAATAAATGTTTTGTCTAAGGAGTCTGACACACTGAATGCCTGTGCTCATAAAAATTTGTTGAAAAACTTTTCTTTTATACCTTGCTTTCTGCTAGGAACATGCATGCCTAAAGCGAACTCTCCAGGCAAGGCTTTATTCTGGTGGCTCAACTGCATTGCCTGCTGCCTGCCTGTAGGTATATTTTTTCCCCTGTTCTGTTCCCCTTCAGGTTAAAGAGAAGCTTTAATCCTGTCAGGCAGCCCATCTTTCTGGTTTATCGATATACTTTCTGAAGATATCCAAACTCATCTGTGGTAATGGTCCACCACCGTAGGGGCAACTCTCTGCCTTAAAGCAGCAATATGGGAGTTGCATGTGGAATGGACATTACTTGACAAATACATCAGTGTTTTGTTGTGGTCCATGAAGTAGGAAGATCAGAAGGGAAAAAAAATATACTCCAGAACGTGATCATGTAATGGTTTTAAATTCGGACAAGTCAGAGAATTTCTGTAGACACTTGATAGACTTCTGTCTGGTAGAATGTGAGAATGGAGAGGTGGAATCATGGTTCTTATCTGTCATCTTCTTCCCATCCTCCTCCTCTCTTTCCAGACCCAAGACCCCTCAAATCTTCTTTTTTCCAGATTTACTTACTTTTTATAGATCAACAAAAATGTCTAGATATAGATAAATATTAGTATAAATAACTTCTCACACACAGTTCAAGGGATAATGTATTTTACTTACAGTAATTCATAGAAGATCAGCCTTTTTCTGTGTTGTTAAGAGGCTGTGTCAAAAAATAATGGATTTTCTTTTCCTTGCACAGTGATGAGTTAAGTACTTTCCAAACTAGTGCACTATTGGTATGTGATTTTTTTTTTTTTTCTCCATACCAATGCCCTTGTACAATACAAGGCAAAATGATTCTGTCATTTGCATCAGAATAAGCATATTTTGGTTTCAAAAATAAGAGCAAGACAGCTACTGAAGCGCTTCCCTATTTTAATTTTTTTGTTACTATTTTTAAATATTATGTAATGCTTTGGTATTAGAAGTGTGCACCTTTCTTCTTTTTTAAAATTAAAAAACTCCATACCCTCTCAGGATAGGTATAACTTAAGAAAACTTTTATTTTGGTTTATGTTTGCAGGCTTCTTGCCTTTGTCCTTGCCTTTTGCCAACAGCTCCTGACGTGGATAAAGCCTGTAGAATGTAGTCATTGTTACTTGCAGGCGGTGACCATGCAGGCTAAATAGTTGGGAATGGCTTAAGCCGTGTGGATATCCACGATCAGAGAGCTGCATTTGCAGATAACTCGGTTGCAGAAGGTAGTTGCTGAGTTGATAGAAATTCTGAATTATTGATGTTACTTTGTAATTAATTTGAAAGGCTAATGCTAAAGTTAGCTTAATGACAGAGGGAGAAGTTGTATTTAAATTAGCCTGCAGGATTAGACAGGGGGGTTTTGTGTAGTAGGAAAACACTGTTTCTATTCTGAGATGTGTTCCTTCAAATAAACAAGCTGAATACCAACCAGCTGGAATGGTTGTACATCTATGGCTACATTTAAAATTCCTTTTAAAGCTGAAGAAAATAGGGTATGGAATGGATTCTTCCTCTTCCCAAAGCTTATCATTAATTCATCACTTCTTTGCAGTCAGGCTGTGATTAAAGCTGCAAACCAGTAAGTAATTGTGTAGGCAGAAACTGGTGTCCAGGGCAGAATAGGAGAGTGCTGCTGGTGGTGTTCACTGATTGTTCCCTAAGAGTGTTGCAGTCCAAGTAAGCTTTTGGCAAAAACTTTAAACCATTTAAGCTATTCTTGCTTGTTTTGATTGAAAGCTCCTTCAGTCACAGCGTATCTGCTGTGAGGCAGTGACAAATAGCTCTGTGCAGTAACTCTTGCACCAGCAGAGCTTGATCTGAAAAGAAAAATCAAAAGCCTGCGTTGCAGAATTATGGCAGATGTTGGCAAAACTGTTGCTGAGTTCCTCTTGGGTTGTGGGACTCCTCAGACCCTAAACTCTGCAACTTTGTCTTCAAACAAAATTAATCATCAGTGCCAGGAACTGAATTTCTTGGCCCTCTGTTTTCTGCTATCCGAAGTCTGAGTGGAGGATGGCTATAGGATAGAATTAAAACCATAGCCTTAGAAAGTGCACAGTTAAGTTTAATTTTTCTTCAGAGCGTTTGTTTAGAATCAGTGTTATTTTTGCAGTTTTTATCTGCTCTCTGCAACAGTGTGCAACAGCTTCAGAAACTTCAACACCTGAACCTCTGTATTCAAGTGTCTTTTCCAATTTCATAGTGTCTGTACTTCTACAAACATGTTAGAAGAAGACATGCATACCCCACACCCCAACACAAATATGAAGGATACTGATTTTTTTTTTCCCATCCTCCTATTCCCCCCAGCTTTCCTGGCTGGAATTGGATATTGCTGTAGATTCATGAAAAAGACATCCTGTGTTTCCAGTTTGTGCTATATTTATAGCTTGACTGAAGGTAGGAATTGTCTTAGTCTTGTGAGCTTGTTTTATACTGTTTCCAGCCTTGCAGCTCAAAAGCTGAGTGTTCCAGCAGTTGTTAGACCACATGCTCTGAGTTCATCTGGTGTTGTCTCCTCCTTAACGGTGTATAGATATCGAAACCTGTTAAAGACAATGCTATAGTATAAAAGAGGAGGACAAGGTGTTGGCCTAGCATACTGCCATGTTAACTGCTCTAGCCGCCAGCTGCTGAATAAAAAGATCTGTTGGTATGCATGTTGCACAGGTGCATTTGGCACTCTGCTGTTAAATTCAAGGAGGAGATTAGTTGTTTTTACATTGAACTGAGACTTCGGTCATATGTTGCAAAGGATAAACTAAGCTGGTCCCTTTTATTCTCTACACAGTTATTTCGGTTGCACTGTTGGGTTGGCTACTATACAGCACGCTTTATAGACGTCTAAACACTCTTCTAAAAAATGTTTATCTGAGAAATACCAGATGCCTTGGGTTTTATCCAAGGTTTCCGTAGAAAGCCATAAGCACAGAGAGAAGAGATTATTTCTGATGTGCTTCTTAGTTGATTACGATGCTGCTTCCATACTCGAACTAGTATTCCTGGTAACCCTGATACTGGTAGCAGAAGGCAACTTAATGGGTGCTAAGACTCAGTTTGCACATTTGCATATGACTTCTAGAGTGACCTACTTTGTGTTGAGCTCTTTGTTGTTTTTAGCAAAATGTGCTTGGGTGTACAAGTCGGCTTTCATCAAGGTGCCGCTCAGCTAGTACTGGGTTTTGTGGTTTCCATTTTAAAGCAAGCTCACATCTCTTTAACTTCAATTCATTTATTTAAAAATGTTTGTGAAAGAAATATTTTTTTTTTCCTTGGTCTTTTTCAGATTATCAGAGACTGATGACTGTGGCAGAGACCATCACAGCACTAATGTTTCCATTTCAGTGGCAGCATGTATATGTGCCTATACTTCCAGCATCCCTCCTTCATTTTCTAGATGCTCCTGTCCCTTACCTCATGGGCTTGCACTCTAATGGGCTGGATGACAGGTCTAAGCTGGAACTTCCTCAAGAGGTGAGAGGAGCTTGTTTCGATTGATTAATTATTGTACATGAGTATGAAGGAAATAAGAAATGAGCCAAAACACTAGTACTAACTAACAGCTGTTGTGAAGTTCTTGCTGGCTCTGGTTTGGGATAACTCTTACTTTATGTTTTGGAGATGCTGGAGAAAATCTGGTGAAATAGATAAATCCCTGTTTTGGGGATATTGTATGCTCTGATAAAATTAAGCTAATTTTACAGGTATTTGTGCAGTGGGGTTACTAAAAGAACATTTTTGTGCTGCAAAACTTAGTCCTGTAGTGCTAGGAAATGCAAGAAAATGCAGTGTGAATTTACCAACTGTAACTAAAAGGTCATACACCTGCTTCTGCATGGTGCTGAGCGAGCAAAGGCTGACTGGCTTCTGCGCTGGGCTGGGCTGGTTTCTGGCTGCGTGGCATTAGGCTGGGTTTCCTTGCACCACATTTCTGAGTTGGGGTGGCTTATGTGGACCCAGCCTGTCAGGTGTCTGCACCAAAACCATTTCAGATTTTCATCTAGAATGCAGTCTGTGTATACTTGAGCAAACTGGTGCCAATTGGGATAGTGCTCAGGAAGTCTTCCCTTGTAGTGAGGCTTTGTTAATGCCAGCCACTGTATAAAGGAGAAGAAAACAGTTTGTAAAGTTTCTGCAACTCATACCTGGGGCTGGGACTACGTTCAAACTGCTTAGAGGTGGTTTTTATTTACTTTATCCTGCTGTTCGCAGATACTTTTTTTAGGGATGTGCCAAGAGAGTTTCAGAGCTGGTTGTGAGGATCAAGGGACCAAGAGTGGTTGAGCACTGGGGGAGCTGGTAACCACCCATGGGAAGTATGTCTGGTGGATGGCATCTGGCTGGCTTGTGAGGCAGTTCCATCAGTCATCTGAATGACTTCTGCCATCGAACACCACTGAATGGTTTATTTGCTCTTGTATATAGAAAATGTTGAGTGTTACAGAATGGTCTGGCTGGCTGTTGTCAAGAAGCTGGACACCTCTGTCAGGTAGCCCTGTGGGAAGCAAGTGCTTGCAGAGTTACTAGCTGTGGAACAGCAGAGCTCTGGCCTCTGCTAGAGTCTGCTTATAGGTGTAACTTTGTTGGGGAGGGACTGGGTAAACTATGGGAAACACCCTACTTACGGGCATTCGTAGGATTCTTTCATCTCTACCATTTTCTTTGTCTGTTTTCTTCTATTATAATTTACATTACTGGGAAAGCAGAAATGTGGCAGGCAGAGGGTTTTGGTGGTGGTGGTTTTTATTTTCATTATGAGGCAGTGCTGCAACATAGCTCGACACAAAAAATCTTTAGAAAACTGCATGAAATTAAAGACAAGATATTTTTGTGAACCTCCAGTCTGGTCACCATGCCAACATTGCTCTTTTTCTCAAATCCATATGCTGATAGTTTTCATTTGTTTTTCCTGGCAAGTTCAAAGGAAAATTTATCTTCAGACTGTGTTATTTTTTCCTATGAAAACTAAAGTATTTAATATCTTGATTTCTTTCTTTTCTCCCTCACTTTTCTTTTACACTGTAATAATTAATAACAGACTAGTGTATGTTCTTGCCATGAAAACAGTATTTCTCTGGTTTACTACATTTTCACAAAATTTTGGATGTACTGATGGGCCTAATTAATATGGTTAGTATACTTTTTAGAGAGAATAGCTGGTGAAGTAAAATGCATGCATGGATATGCATGTTAATATGCACCGTGAATGTTTTCACTGTTATAATAAACTTCTAAAAGACTATCCTCCTTTTGTAAAGAATTTCCTCATTTTAAAATCACTGTAATACTTCCAACTAAATGAACATATTTAAGTTTTAAATAAGTATTTCAATTATTTAAAAGGTAAATAGTGTTGAAGAGCTTTATCAGCTTGCTTTGAAGATTTAAAGTAAGGTAGTTAATCTGTTTCTAGATCGTAGAATCATAGGCTGGTTATGGGTTGGAAGGGACCTTAAAGATCATCTTGTTCCACCCCCCATGCCATGGGCAGGGACACCTTCCACTAGCCCAGGTTGACCAAAGCCCCGTCCAACCTGGTCTTGAACCCTTCCAGGGAGGGGGCAGCCACAGCTTCTCTGGGCAACCTGTGCCAGGGCCTTACCATCCTCAGTAAAGAATTTCTTCCTTATATCTAATATGAATCTACCCTCTATCAGTTTAAAACCCTTACTCCTCGTCCTATCCCTACCCTCCCTGATCAAGAGTCCCTCCCCAGCTTTCCTGTAGCCCCCTTCAAGTACTGGCAGGTCGCTCTAAGGTCTCCCCAGAGCCTTCTGTTCCCCAAGCTGAACCCCCCCTAACTCTCTCAGCCTGTCCTCACAGGGGGGCTGCTCCAGCCATCTGATCATCCTTGTGGCCTCCTCTGGTCCCACTTAAGCAGGTCCAAAAGAAACAAACGCAAACAACCCCCCCCCAACCCCCTCAAAACCTGCTGTTGCAACAAGAAGTAAATGTACCGTTTAAAAATGTAAAGCAGAATTCAAAGTATGTGCTGGTCTCACTAAGTGAAACTATTGGTCAGTATCAGTATTTCTGATGTTAATAATTAAATTAGCTTTAGTATATTTAGAACTGCAGATTACACGTTCATCTCAAAACTACTTTGATTTATAATTAGGCTTTCAGACACCCTTCACTTAAAGAGCCAAAGGACCTCTGCACTTCTGACATAGGAAGTGACAAGGAACGTGCCTAAAATGTGGTGTTGTAGAAGTAGAAGATGGCATATGGATTCTATTATTTGTACTTCAATAAAGACAAATTTATCATAAGTAACAAAAGGGATATTAATATTTAATGTTGCTTATCTCTAAAGTTTGGAATGTATATGATCCTTTATGAAATCATTGAGGTTATATGAGGAACCTAATTTCCAAGGTCTGCCTCAGGGCTCCTGATTCATATATATATATATATATATATATAGTAAGTGTCAGAATTTTCCTTGCTTATCACAAAGGGTATATAAAGAGCTGTTCTATCTTCTAATTTATTCTGAGTTCTGCAAAAATATTTTTTTTTATTTGTCTTGAAACTGCATAAACTGCATCTCTGTTGCTAATCAAAAAATTTACATGGATGCCTGGGACAGCTGCTGTTATAGAAAGCAGTATCTAATTTAGACAAGGCCCAAAGAAGTGAGCTTTGACAGAAAATCTAGTTAGTGCTTCTCAGTTGAAGGGCATTGTGGAAGAGTATAATATTGCTATCTAGCATAGCATGAATGCCCCAGTGTCACTGTAGACTTCTTGATTGTAGTTTTATAATGAAGTTTTGAAAAGAGTAATGTGTCTTGCTAAAGTGTTTTAGGCTAATATATGTGAAAATACTATCTGTCCTAACTGTCAGGCTTGGCTTAAGTCTTGCACGCATGCCATAGGCTTGTTTTGGTTTGCTTGTCATGGCAGTCTCCTATATGTTGATCACATCTGGTTCTTTAAGGGAGTACTTTACCATGGGAGCATGGAAACCCAGCTATGTCCTAGAATTTGATGCTTTGTCAGATGATGATGATGATGATCTTCAGCAAAATTAACTGCATTAGTACAAAATTCAAGTTCAGACTATCCCTTTGATACATCAGAAAACAGTGCCTGATGAAGAACTCATTAGCATTCAACAATGACTTGACGACCTGACTCTGTGGCCCTGTAAAATTGTAGAAAAGACTCGAGGCTTACAGTAGACTGGAGTTTCTTGTACATGTCAGCAATACAGTGCACTTAGTTAAGCTTGTTCTTATATATTGCCACTTTGCTGAGGGCTCTTTCTGTATGTGTGAGCATCCTTGTGGTTTCACTGATAGCTGCATCAGAGGCTTGTAAGGAACCCAGAAGAGAAAGGGTGGGGGGCATGGGAGAAGTGGTGCTAGAATAAGGTGCTGCAGAAATCAAAGGGAAAGGGAAGAACATGCAGCTGTTTCAGATGTTGCTGGCAAAAGTGTGGCTTGTTTATCAGTAAAATTGATCAAAAAAATTGGTTAAGCTAGCTTTCTTGCAGATCATAAACACAGCCAGTACTGAAGTAAGATTGTTCTTTTGATGTGTCTTTGAATTTCCTTTTAAAAAAAAACTTTTGCAGTGGTATAGCAATGTATTTTTAAAAAGCAAGTTAATCTGGGCCATTTCATGGTACTGGATTTTCATGTGCATTTTGCCACTCTGTAATGCAGGAAAATTGTGGAAATTGAAATTACTTAGAGGGAAAATAAGCAACACCGAGTCTTCCAGCACTGGTTAAATCAAACAAAAGTAGAATCACATTAAAAAAGCTTGGTTTTAATGAAGTGATCCCAAGGGTCTTGGGCAATGGCTTTTTTTTACAAAAGTTGAAAGATTTTAAAAGCTGAAATCTAGTTCTCTGTTAATGTAAGACTGATACATCTTCTCAGTATTTTTATTTCAACCATTAAAAAGATGTTATTCGGTGCTAAATCTTAACAAATTCTGTGGGTTTTTATTTTGTATGTTGTTTTAGAAGATAAGAAAGTTCCCTTGAAAAGCCTTTTTTCCTCTTGATGCCAACACATTTAGATCAGACTGACCAAGATAATTATTTTGAAAGATAATCACTGCTTTGTATGCATTCTCAGGCTATCTGGTGATGTGATAGATCCTTGATAATATTGCAGGTTTATTGACAGACTTCAGTTTTATGTTTTCCTGTACTTCAGTGTTAAACAGCTGCTTGGGCAGTTAAAAGTCATGTTTCTGAAAGCCACAGCTCTAAGTTGTTCTGTCACAAATTCTTGAGTTGTCATGAAGAACAGTAGTGCTGACAAGAAATGCAAAAGGTCACCATGTGCTTAGAGGAATGGCACAGGAGCATCCTTTAGAATTTAGGAGCACTCTAAACACACTTTCCACAAGCCAGCTGCATATGTGTAAATTTGCATATCCCCGTTTTTCTGTGTGTTAAGTGAGGTGGGTTTCAATGCTGTATTCAAGCAGAAGTCTTAACTCAGAACTAGGGTTCAATCTGACTATCTAGGGAGGGGGTGTGAAAACCTGTATTTACCTATACTTTGAGAACCTGGGCTGCACAGAGAATTCAAGTAGCGGTAATTGTGCTATCAGAACTGACTGTTCTAAATTGCTGTAGGCACCTATTTGCATGCCATGTAATTATGTATTAATGTTTAAAATAAAGCCTGTTTTCTCTTTAGGATGTCAGTGGGGTGGGGAGCTTATTATTAGTGAATGTTGGTTCCTCCTTAGATGTCCTTTTGGCAGAACCTAAATAATTTCCTTCTATGTTTTTGAACAGAGCTGAAAGGAAGGATATGGGCTTGATGAAGGCCTTGCTAGATCAGTCTGGGTTTGGCCCTTAATTGTACTTGAGGTCAAACTAAAGAATTGCAATTGTCCTCTGGTTTTGGAATTGATGGGTGTAGTCCAGACCCCACCAAGCCAGTGGAAAGTGGTGCTGTTGACCTCAGGGAACCAGGCTTTGGCATCAGATACGTGAACAGTGACTTACTTGCATCCACATTTCTAAGGTTTGTAAGATTTTTCACCTGGACACCCCATTGTTTGTGATGACAAAAGTTTATGGGAAAGACAGATTTTTAAATTAGGATGTGACATCCTTGTTCCTTAGTGTAGTGTCTCAGGAGAACATTTGATTGTATGATGATGATGTGTGTCCTCTCTTTCAACAATCTGCTATTGAAGTGGTGTGTAACTATTTGAGAAAACAAATATCTCTGCAACAAATAAAAGCACATTTGATTGTTCTAGAGACCTGAAATACCAAGCAACTAACTTAAGGATGCTCTTTAAATTATATTTCTACATACGCATGTTGCTAAGTATCTTGTCTTTATATAATTTTAGTTTTGTGTGTGTGAAATGATGATCAATATACCCACTGGGGCTAACATACAGAGCTGTCACCCATTCACAGCTCACTCAACTGTGCTGCCTCCATAACTAAAACTTTGTGATCAAAGAACTCCTTTATTTTTCTGCTTTGTGTACTTGCCCAGTTCCTAGCATGCAAACGGCTTTGACTGTCCATGATTTCATAAAAAAATAAGTGCCATTTCATTTCTCTTGCTTTTTAAGGGAGGGGACCTCTCTATCCTTGCTGGTATTCCATTTCGTTGGACCTATAGTGTAGCAGCATTGTGAGACTTACTGTTTTGGTCTCTGTTACTGGTGGTTTATTTACTTGGGATTTCATTTTTACAGAAAAATGTTGTTTTGGTACCTCTTGAAGGGCTTGTGAAGTGAGGTGTCTGCTGTTTCTGTTTCCTGGGGAACATGGACTTTTCAGAAGTGCTTATGCAGTTCTTGAGGATGACCTCAGTCTTGCTAAGAGAGGCTAAAGCAATCTACTGAATCTCCTTTGCTTATGCTGTTCTAGGTAGTCCTCTATGTTATTTATTAACTGGGCACTGAATAAGTGTAGAGTGTCCCCAGAAATTTTCTTTACACTCTTTAGAGTATTGCTGCAATGCTAACATATTTCTTTTTTTTTAAATGCTTATATATAGAGCAAATTCTGGGAAATGTAATAGTAAGTTGAATGATAAGCAGTCATCGTTAGTGGCTTAAAGTGTTTAATCTATGTTTATTGCTCTTAAACTGCAGAAAGGATATTTAACTGTTGGAAGAATTAGCCAGATGAGCCCAGATACTTATAAGCAATTTTACCAAGCATTAAATTTGCCTTTTTCTTCATTGACAAGGAGTTTATTTTCAGTGTGAAGTCTGGAATTTCTACATTGATAATGTTTGGTTACTTTTTGGCCAAGCACTTTCTAGGTACAACCAAACTTAATCAAGAGTGATGTTTTCTGCAGGACCTGTGCTAAAATGAGATAATCCAAAAGGGAAGGAAAATTGAATGATGTAAATTAAAGAGAGTTTTAAAAGGAAGTAATACAATGAAACTGTTTGAAGAGTTTCTTAACAAGTCTGTCTTGCCATTTCACAGACAGCTTGTGATGAATTAAATTGTTTTTTCCTCAGCACCAATTCATAGGCATTGTGCCTAGTTTTAGGGCTTTATTTTTCTCATGTTCTGAACTGCTTACAGTGTTCATGATGGTTATTAGCTGACTTGATTTCTAATCATCACAGGCAGAGTTTATTGTAGTCTATCTATGATCAGTCCCACAACAAAATCCTACTGGAACTACTTAGTTCTTACTTGATGCTTCACTGCTTGCGTACATTGCTCTGATTTCTGGGATCATCCATCATTGTGGGGTTAATATCTTCCAATTTGTTTCCTATTAAATCGTGAGACTGCTTCCATCCTTCTGCACTTACTGAATGATAGGAAATAACTGGAGTTCTGTTAGCTGTCATGATTTGATATGTATTTTTGCTCCAAAGCTATTGTGAGTCCTGAGTTCAGGTGTGCCCACTAGAATAATGCGATGAAGCTAGGCTGAAATCACTCCGTAATCTAGGTGGAGGGGTTTGGTGTGGGAGAGGCTAAACAGAAAAGTGACAGTCCATGTTAATTCTGCAGTGAACAAAACCTGAAATGCTTCTATAGAAGAGCAAAGTTCCTGCTGTATAGTTAACTTTCCAAGCAGATTTCACACATGGATGATGTTCTTGCTGTATGTATGTAATTATGTATGTCATGAAACCATTTGATGCTGATTTTGCATTGTAGAAGCCAAAAGGGGAACCCCCCCCCCCACCAAATAAAGGGTGAGGTGAGTCCTTGAGAGATGCATAGCTGCTTTTGATGTTGCTGTGGAAGCCACATAGGTGATTTTTCTTTCCTTCCCCCCCCTCCCCCCAGTCTTTTTCATGGTAAATGAGATGGAGGTTGGAACAGGAAAACAGAATTGAAACTAGTTCAGTTAATTTTTCCCCTTGGAAATAAACTTCTGAACTCATTGAAGGCATTGTCTTAGTTCTCAAGTTGCTTACAAAAAAGAGAAGATAACTTTCTTGCAGTTTCTGCAATATCAGTACACCTTTTAGAGTGGAATTTGCCAAATCTTTTAGAGGAGTGGATTGAGCAGTAGGCCATCACCTGCTTATGGATGCACATGTAAAAAAGTGTCGCAAATATCCTGTAGTTAAAATCCATGTGTATGAAGGCATTCCTATATCTGTACCTAATATATGCTATAGTCTCTTCTGTACCTAGTAAACAACTTTCAACTAAGAAAGAAGACTCATTTTAAAGACCAGGAACTGTAGGCCTTGTTGTGCTTCTGTGATGGTTGGGGCAAGTCAGTTTTACAAAATAACCAAACAAATGCAAATGTATTTGAAGCTTTTAATAATTATAAAACCCAAAGATATATGAAATGCAACCCTTGTGTTTAGTGATTTTTGTAATGGTATCCTGTTCTAAATTAAATCCCAGGCTAACCTGTGCTTTGTGGATGTAGACAACCATTTCATTGAGCTGCCAGAAGACTTACCCCAGTTCCCAAATAAACTTGAGTTTGTTCAGGAAATTTCAGAGATACTAATGGCTTTTGGAATTCCACCTGAGGGAAACCTTCACTGCAGTGAAAGTGCCTCCAAGATGAAGAGCCTCAGAGCATGTGACCTGGTTTCTGATAAAAGAAATGGGAACATAGCAGGATCACCTTTGAATTCCTATGAGCTGCTAAAGGAAAATGAGACTATTGCAAGACTCCAAGCACTTGTTAAAAGAACAGGTGTCAGTCTAGAAAAGGTAAGCTATGAAATTATCTGCACTCTCTCTGGACCTGCAGTATCAGGTGGTCTGAAGTCATGGTCCAAAGACGCTTTTTGTTTGTCTTCTTGGGGAAGAACTTCATGTTAATATGTTCACAAACATTGTGAACTTCTGTAGAGACATGGGCAACCTTGGGGGAGAGGGGAGTGGGGTTTAACCCCACAGCATCTAGGGGGAAGCCTTTGGCTATCCTTCAGGTGTTTCTTTGCCAAGATCATATGTTTAAAAATGTTCCTTGCTTGTTTAGTCTTGGTTTTAAGATTTATTCTAGAGTTACCAATTTGTTATGATTTACATGGCTAAAACCGACATTCAGATAATCCTGAAGTTGGAATCCAATCTTGATTTTTATAGGTATCTATCTTTCTTATTGTGTGTAGAATATGTGTAATTTTGCTTTTATGTGATATGCTTGCCATAGGGATACTGTGATGCTTTTTTCTGAATGATGTTGTAAAGTATTGATGTCCAGTTCCCAGCAAGTGAATGTGCAGAGCTCGTGGTGACACTGATTGGATTCTTTTTGGCAATCAGAATTGGGGAAAAAAAGTTTTGGCCCTTTTTGCGTAAAAGGTACTATTACCTGAAAGATCACTGTGGGTTTCTTGAGCCTTTGTGGAATGAAGATCTTCTTGGCAAACATTTCTTGCATGTTTAGATTATCTCGACCAGTTCATTGCTGAGTCTGATTCTTGCTCACGTGATTGTAACTTGGATCACAGCTGGGGCTAAACAGAGACAGAAATTGTATAACTTACAATAGGTTGGGGAGGAGACCTGCTTTGTAGGGAGGGAGCTGCAGGGGGGTTACAAGAGGAAGCATTTGGTTGCTAGACAGGATTAGATGCTCAAATCAGCTGCATTCCTCTTCTCAGTTGTTTGGGGTTTTTTGCATTGTTTTGTTCTAGTTCAGGGGCAATTTAGTAAGAAGCTTTTTTTTTTTTTCCTGAATGGATTGGGCAGTGATGGAAAAGGTAGAGGTCTTAAATTTCTTGTAAGTTTTTGCACGTTCAGGCCTTATGTACTCTGTACTCTCTTCCGTAATAGTTGAAGTCCCATTTTACTAGCCTTTTATTGTGCTGATAGGAGTGTATAGGTTATAGCTGTAAAAATTTTCTTAAGTATGCAGATAAAAAAAACCTGCTTTAATGCCAAATACCCAATCAATGAGGAATGTATAGATGCCAAGTGCTACTTATGAGATGTGGTTAGAAGAAATGGCTGAATAGCAGAGCTCTCTAGCAGAGAGCGTGGCTCTAGGATTCTATTTATAGTTGGCCTTGGGCTGCTCTTCTCGAGGTGCTTTAAGAAGCGTGGGATAGCTGCAGCAACTGCATCATTGTGCAGATGTTGTAAGCTCTAGATATTGTATTTAATTATGTGTGGCGGTGCCTTTTATAATAATTAAGAAAGGCAGGGATAGCAAGTGTGTATTCAAACCTAGAGCATGAATGTTAGTGGCTTTGATTTTATTTCTAGATACTCAATTCCTAACAAAATTAATATGAATTGGATATCTGAATCTCATATTGCTGTTTTCATAAATCTTAGCCCACATGTTAACTGAAAATGCATTTTATTTCATTAAAGATTACTCTGTGTGGTTATGAATTGTGCATGGCTGCTAGACTTAGGTTACAGGAGATCACTATTAGACATGCACAGTTTCTTTTTACTGTGCATTTCTGTCTTTGTTGGATAGTTGGCATGTATTAAACTGTAACAGTATAAACCTGAGCTTGTATAACATCAGGCAGAAATATGTATTTGCCTAATGTTCAGGGTAGTAAAAACCCCTAAAAAGCCTATGCAGGTGATTAAAGGGTAAAAGAAAATAAATTAAGTATATGGCATATGTGGACATGTGTGTGGTTGTTATCTATCCTTTTGTAATCTAAAGTTATCCAGTGCAACAAGTACTAAAGTAGGTTACGGTTTATTACTGAAATTACAACTTTTATAGACAAATGTTTCTAGGTTTTTTGGTGATACTGTTTTATTACAGTGTTTGAAACTGTAAGTAGTGTTTTTTTGTTGGAATGTTGACTTGAGGAGTAGCTGAACGGCATATTAAGGTCTTGTATACCTAGAATACCTGACAAAGCAATGATAAAAATTTTTCGTGTTCCCTTTCTCAGTTGGAGGTGCGAGAGGAGACCAGTAGCAAAAAGGATCTTAAAATTCAGTGCGATGAAGAAGAATTCAAGATTTACCAGCTGAACATTCAAATCCGTGAAGTTTTTGCCAACCGCTTTACACAAATGTTTGCAGATTATGAAGTATTTGTTATTCAACCCAGTCAGGACAAGGAGTCTTGGTTTACAAACAGGGAACAGATGCAAAACTTTGATAAGGTAAGTTATGGAATAAGAAGAGATGTCGATGTAAAAAGTAAAACAGTCTTCAAACCTAAGGCTTTGTTTATTGGGCCATAAAATGGAAACAGTACCGCAAAAATTATACTTTCTTCCTTAAATTTCAGTGTTCCTGAAAAAGACACATCTTGTATATTATGTGGAAAAATATATACATACATGCACTTAGGAAGATACTCTTTTAAGGATACTGTAGAAAAGTACAGCTTGCTGTAGAGAAATAGCTTAGAAAGCCTCACTTATGGCTAATCTCTCCATTAAGGTTAAATATTACTACTGAAAATGTGTTTTAGATGTTTGTTGGTTTATTCGTTTTTTTTACCAGAGGAATTGCTGAATATGTTAATGAATAAAGCCATGACCCCACATAACACTTACCTACATGTGTACCAAATGTATTCCTAGCTCTTTTCTAGGGAAATGCAAGACCCAGTTTGTCAAATTTTACTACTGTCGTCTTTACTGGAGATCAGATATTTGTCAGCCGGATAGTTCACGTGGGTGAAGATTATGTTGCAACACTACCTGCTAAAACGCTAATCTGATTCCCATCAAATCGTATGAAAAGATTCTCATCAATTTTATAAGCTTTGAGCCCGGCCATAACATCCATATCTGTGGTATTGTTGTTGTGGTTTACTGGGATTCTGTTGAAATTTTTAGAAAACCAAGGACATACTAAAATCACAGTTTATTTACTGTGTTATATAGTAGGTGATTGTCATGAAACTGGTTTCATATAGACTGCCTGTTTCAGACATAGAAATGGTGTGTGTAATAAAATTAGACTTTAAGCGGCACCAAAGCACTCTAATACATCCTTGATTAGAAAAACTGGTGCTTTTGGTGGATATATCTCTCTCTGCAGACTCCCCAACACTCTTACCTCTTCTTGTCTGTTAGGCATCTTTCTTGTCGGACCAGCCTGAACCTTACTTGCCTTTCCTCTCAAGATTCCTGGAGACCCAAATGTTTGCATCTTTTATTGACAATAAGATTATGTGCCACGATGAAGATGATAAAGACCCTGTTTTGAGAGTATTTGATTCTAGAGTGGATAAAATTAGACTGCTAAACGTTAGGACACCGACTCTCCGCACATCTATGTATCAAAAATGCACAACCATCGATGAGGCTGGTAAGAGTAATAAGCCACTTTCTTGACATTTAAGAAAATAAAACTAGTCAGTGCTGTTTGTTGTAGACATTAGGTTAAAGTTAAATAACGATTCATGCTTTGAAACATCAGAAAAAATAGACCAAAAAGGGTGAGGTGTAAAGCTTAAGTGAGGGACTAAATATTACAAAGGAAGCTGAGAAGCTGAGATGTGAGATGAAATTAATTCAAAGTTTAATTGAACTGTTTTACTGCATGCTTCGTGTGAAAAATGTTTGCACTTAAGAAGTTTAAATTTTTTCTCTTTATGGTGGCGGTTCTTTTGATGTTTAATATGCTCTTCTATTAGTGTACATATTGGAGTCAGGAAGAAACTTCCTCCTCCTCCTCTCAAATTTGAGATCGACTTTTACTTGAGGATGTGTGATTATAGATACTTGTCTGGTTAAGATACCTCTAAAAAGTATTAACTTTCTTACTATTTCAGAGAAATCTATTGAATTAAGGCTGGCAAAAATAGATCACACTGCAGTCCACCCACACTTGCTGGACATGAAAATTGGACAAGGGAAATACGAACTTGGATTTTTTCCCAAGCTTCAGTCTGATGTTTTATCCACGGGACCAGCAAGCAACAAGTGAGTAAGCTAGGGCAACAGGTTCTTCTGCATCTTGGCAAGATGTATGGAATGGTACTGAAGTAGAGACACTAGAAAGCAAATTCAGTATCTTTTTTTTTTTAAAGTGAGAACAAATCAGAGTATGTGGATAGTTGTGTGTGTGTGTGTGTTTCTCTTTTAAATCTGGACTTCCAGAAGCAAATTTACTTCAGAAAGCCCTATTATATTTGAGGTTATAGTTGATGTACTTGAGTTACTTAAAATTACTGTTGATATAAAAGATCATCTCCTTACTGGATATCAGTTAAGAGCTAGCAAAAATTTTAGGATATCTTCTTATAAAAACTTTGAAGGAAGAGGACAAAGGTGACAGTTATAACTGGCTATCATAAAAGAATGGAAAAATACAAAGGCAGTGTATGTGATCTTATTTTCTGAAATTTTGTTGCCCAATGTTAGATTCTTCTACAGAGAATCTTTGCATGTAATTGGAGCTGCACTTTGTCTGATGTAATTGGTGTCAACATGTTCAGTATACAATAACATAGAAACTTATTTCCCCCATTGCCACTGCCCTTCACCTAATTCTTGACATTTGCTTAATAATATTCCTCCGTCTGTAGGTGGACGAAGAGAAATGCTCCTGCACAGTGGAGGCGGAAGGACAGGCAGAAGCAACACACAGAGCACCTGCGTCTTGACAATGATCAGAGAGAGGTGAAAATTGTTCAGCTATAGAGATCTGATTTTTTTTTCGTAATTGCCTGAATAATGTTCTGTAACCTTTATGAAATGTCTAGACAGTTATTTGCAGTCCATCTCTGCGTGTATTTAATATCAGTGAAGTTCCTGATGCTTAGCGGACAAAAAGTATTTAGTTTTCTGATTTTAAAAGTTACACCACTTTAACACCTCTCAGGACAAAATAATTTCATCCCATGTACAGCAGAGTTCCCTGAATTATTTTTTTTTTTAAAAAAGGGGGG